TTGCATTTGCATTCTTAAATCTGTTGTCACGCATACAATAGGTATATCTTATGGTAGAATTGTTCGGTTTCATTTTAACCCTTGGAGCAAACCTACATGGTTCAAAATTGTTTAGGAGCAAGGCACATAGCTTGTCTTACAATTGTTCATTTAATATGTGCCAAAGTCCAAATTGTAGATAATTTCTCCCAAAATATCATCTTTCAAGTGGTATTTTGATTCCAAAATCAAATGTGCATGAGTACTACAAGTATTCCACGCTTGCATGCACAAATTTAGGGGGAGGATCATCTACAAGATGGATGCTTTGAGACTAACCACTTTTCAAGCTTATCATGTAGTAGTCTCATTGCAAGGAAAATGGAGTCCTCGGAGATAAGCATCATTCTTCATTTGGTATCATCATGTTGACTTCATTTTGATATTTATATGCTTTCTCCATGCATTATATAGATTAAACTCCTTCGTGCGATAATTTGCCAATTATGCATATGCTTTGCCTTCCATCATATGTATGCATATATTTAGGGGGAGCTTAGTCTATATAATGTGAGTCAAATTTTGTGATCTATTCAATTCTACATATAAAGGATCATAAAGTTTGACCCTCCCTTGTGCTACTAATGTCTTCCTTTTCGGTGTTTGATTTCAAAGGGGAAGAATTTGGAGGACCAAAGGCAAGCATTAATTTGGTGTCTACAAATGGTAATGGTCCAAGAAAGGGAGGATAGTGGGTTATGGATTAGTCTAAGTAATGGGGAGAATTAATAAAGAACATGGCTTAAATCCATAATACCACAAGGGGACATTTGCAAGGGCAAGATAAGCTTTAAATAGTTTTTCAATTGGTCCTACAAGTTGTATCTTCAATTGGTATCAATTGGTATCTTTTTAGTATCATATAACCTTGTCGTTTGCATTGCATCTTAGCAAGTAGATAGTTTTTAAATTTCACATTCTTATTATTTGCTTGCTTTGGTCGTGTTGTCATCAATCACCAAAAAGGGGGAGATTGTAAGGAAAATGGACCCTTGGCCCATTTACTTTGGATTTTGGTGTTTGATGACCAACACAACCAAATTGGACTAATGAATTTGCAAGTATTTATTTTGTAGTCCAATAGGGTGCAAGACGTGACTTAGACGAAGGCGACGTGATGATCTGATGATCAACACCTTAAAGCAAGACCTTAGGAGCACAAGAGAAGACCTAAGAGATCAGGTAAAGTCCAAGCATGAAGATTGAAACCAAGCCATACGCAAGATCACAAAGAAACGAGCTCACTATGGTGACCGGACGCTGGACTGGACGCTGGACAAGCGACCGGACGCTGTGACCGGATGCTGGGTGGAGACTCAACAGACAGGCGACCGGACGCGAGGACCGGACGCTGGCAGCAACCGACCGGACGCAGGAACGCAACGTCCGATCGAGTACAGTAGGGTTCTAGAGCGGCATATCTGCGACCGGACGCATCCGGTGGCAGGCGACTGGACGCTGGACAGCGTCCGATCAGTGTTTTGTCGGTTCAACGGTCGGGACGACCGGACGCGTCCGGTCAGGACAATTCAGCGTCCGGTCAGTAGCAGAATTGCAGGAGTTCGACCTCAACGGCTACTTTCTCAGTGGGGCTTATAAATACAACCCCCAACCGGCTATTTGAGAAGTGTGGAGCTGAGGAAACATATCAAGGGTGTTGATACACCATTTTAGTGATCTCCACTTGCATAGTGCTTAGTGATTCATCCGGTGATTAGCGTAGGTGCTTTGCGAAGTGCTTAGGTTGATTAGACCACCGCTCATGCGCTTGCTCTAGGTTTAGGCCTAGTGTTTAGTGAGGTTTGTATACCTCTTACCACTCGGTGCTTGCGCGCACCATTGTTGTACATCGGAGGGGCTTGTAGTCTTGCGAGATCACACCAACCGCGTTTGTGGTGTGGCCGCCACCGTGTACCGGAGGGAACAAAGCCCGCGGTGTTTCGGCCGGAAGCTTGATAGTGAAGACGGCGGGGAGCATCCGGGAGAGGCTTGCCGAAAGGCACGTCGGAGACCCACTTGAGCGTGGGGAAGACCCGAGGCTATCCATGGAGTTATCCGACCGGGAGCTTAGCCCTTGCGAGGGATTCCTTGCGAGGGGCTCCAACGAGGACTAGGGGGAAGCTTGCGCGCTTCTCGATACCTCGGTAAAAATACCAGAGTCGTCGATGGGAGTTTGCATATCTCTATCTTGCTCTTTTGCTTCCGCATTTACATTGATTACATTACTCCTTTGCGGTAGAGATAGCAACACATTAGCAAAACCATAGTTGCACAGTTAGATAGTTTATCTTTTGCATAGGTTTTGCTAAGGGTAGAAAAAGAGGCCATAGTTGAGAGTTAGATTTTTGAGTCGCCTAATTCACCCCCCCCCCCCTCTTAGGCGTCACGGTCCCTTCATATCACAAAGCAAAATCTGTTTCTGGGTACCAAACCATTTCTTCCTAGATAGAAGATCAATTGCACAAAATTGGGTTGGTGCATTTACTGCTACCAATTGAATTGAGGATTACATCCATATTTTCATTGATTTTTTTCTTTTTCTTTTGAGAAGGCATACAAATTTTTCCATTTGTGTTAGGCCTGTGAAGGCCCATCACGGCCCAGTGAACGAATGGAATCTTGCCCTCATCGAGAAGTTCAATCACGTAACCATTGCTATAAATTACGATCCTACCCTACCCTGGCATTTCTACCGAATGGCTAGGACGCCACCACCCACCACCAAATCACCAACAACCGCTCTGTCTTTCTCTCGCCTCAATAGTCGCAGCATGCTCGTCTCCATCTCGCTACGGGAAGCCAATCACCAAGCGCCATTGGAGGGGCACTAGCTGATCCTCTGTTGCGTCTTCATGTGGATAGTCAGTGGGGGATTAGTTAGTGGGGATGATGTGAATAGCTTTCATGTTGAGATAGACTTGTAGTTGGGATTAATTTTATAAGAGATATAGATTGAGAATTACACTCATATTTTCATACAACTTTTTTTTCTTTTTTATTTTTTTTATAGGGAAAAGGTCAATCTATCCTTCAACTATTGTGCAAGTTCCATTTGCCTCCCTCATTTAAAAAATCAGATTTTTAGACTCCTCCAACATTTTAAACTGTCTGATTTTAGCTCCCTAAGTAGTTCCAAAAGTGGCTTTGACTGATGTGGCGCCACATCAACCGTCTTTGTTGGGATCTAGACCTTTGCGTATAACTTCACCAGAGTGAAGATTAAGTTAGGGTAACTACTATCACACAGCAAAAAGAAAGTGAGGGGAAACACTAAGATTAGGTTTGGAGAATGAGGAGAGAACTCCTCTTGTCCTTGCCCTGGGGCTCTATTTATAGTGGAGGTGGGAGAAAGCGTCTTCCTCCCAATCCCGTTTAGTTTATAAATTACATGGAGGTCCTTAGACCTCTTGGGCCTGATTTTTTACATGGAGGGGGTAGGCGTAGACGCCCTTACCCCCAATAGTAGCCCCTTAGCCATTAGGCTTTGGTAGGTACAGCAAATCCTAGTCGCTATAATAATAGAAAAAAAGGCCCAAGAATTGGTCCCTACAAAATCGATTGAAACTGGAATGGGATTCGTTTATTATGGATTAGTTTGTATAGATATTCCAATAATTTGTAACCACATAAAAGTTGTGGAGTGTTGTGGAAGGTACAATCCTGCAAGGCAACTTATATTGCGAAAGCTTCGACACACGGGGCATAAGAAATTCGAGGCATGACATAAACGAAGGTATGATCTTTTCGACAACCAAGATATGATGTCGAGTAAGTATAATAAGTTTTTGTGTGGCAAAATAAATCATTACCTTGAGTGAAGCATGGAGACCTGCAAGATAGATGTATTGCCCTTCAAGGTGAAGGTTAGCACAACTACTAGATTGTTTTAAACTTCCACGTGAAGGTGTAGAGTAGCAGTCAGTCACGAAGGTGATAGGGATCGGATAAGTGCAAAGGTTTAAAATGGAGTATCTATACAAGTGAGTATTACCTTATATGGAGGTTGGAAACCTGTAAGTAAACATGGACATTTTTACAGTAGTGACAACCTGCATGTTAGCGTGATATAGCTTTAATTTTTATGCCACTTGAGAATTGCCACTGGAGCGCAGTATATGATAGTTGCATAGGTCATGGCTAATGCGTTGACATGAGATTAAAACATTAAAGATATGAAGGCATGCCGAATCGGCGGCATCCCAGGGTGTCCACGTACGTTCTGTTTAGTTGGTGCGTTAGATCGAAATTCCACGACTCAGATGAAGCGCGTCACAACTGGCCTTCCTCCATGCATTCGGTAGTGGATAGATGAAGCAAGTGGACGCATTCAATGAAGTATGGCTTCCCTGGTGATCGTACGCGGCACGCAAATGGACGGTGACGCGTAGCAGGGATGGTGGATTCTCGACATGCATGGCCGGTGCCTAATTAGCATGGTGGTACGCGTGCGTACATGCTGTTGGGGCCTTGCTTGCTTTGCATGCATGGCCAGTTGTACCCGTTCTTATCTCCTTGTGAGAAGGTAAAAAATTTTGGCCTGTCCTTTCTCTACGAGAATACGATCAAAAGTGGGCCAACGGCAGCAGCAGTGCATGCATGCACGCCTTTAAACCAGCAGTGGCTTCAGGCCAACTAGCACCCATCCTTATCTGCACCCATCTTATCTCCTTCAGGAGAGCACAGAGGCCTTTTTTCGTACGAGAGCTGCCCAGCCAGCTCATGGGATTTGACCGGGCGTCTTTATCCTCTGCTACCTCTCCCCTGCTCTTTTTTCAGGAAACGCAGAAGGGAAAAGAGTAGGAAGAGACAGGCAGCCAGCCAGGTGGGCTCGCGCCTTCGGCGCCCCTCACATGCGGTGGGTGACCGGCCAGGCCGGTGACCGGCCAGGCCGGCGGCCGGCTGCGCGGCAGCTCGCGCTCGCCTGCACTCGCACCTGGCGGTGGCCTACGAGGGCCGCACCTATGGCTGCGGCGGCGCCTGGCCGGAGGCGGGGCGTCATCTACGGCTACCGACTGGGCTCACGCGCACCCGTGGCAGGGGCCGGCAGCGGCGGCGACGGGGCCAGAGGCGCGCGCTCGCGCCCGTGGGGCAGCACTTGTGCCCCTCTCGCGTCGCTCACGCCCCGCGGCTGCGGTGGTGAGCTGGGAAGGTTCGGCCACGGCGAGAACAGCGGCTCCGTCAAGGCGCTGGCGGCCGCGGGCGAGCGGGTCTTCTCCGCGCACCAGGACGGCCGCGTCCGCGTCTGGCGCGTCTCCCGCCGCTCTCGCTCCGAGAATGCCTTCAAGCTCGTCGCCGCGCTGCCCACCTCCAGGGACTACCTGGGCCGGGTGCTCTGCCAGGCCAGCTACGTGCAGAAGACGGCGCAGCGCAGCCACTGGCGCCTCTGGATCGAGCACGCCGACAGCATCTCCTGCCTCGCCGTCGCCACCACCGTGCACAACGCCGCGCTGCTCTACTCAGGCTCCTAGGACCGCACGCTCAAGGTCTGGCGCATCGCTGACCTCAAGTGCCTCGAGTACATCCGTGCCCACGACGACGCCGTCGCCGCCGGCGCCGGCGCCGGCGCCGGCGTCGTCTACTCCGGCTCCGCCGACGGCCACTTCAAGGAATGGGAGAAGGGCAAGGCGTCGCATTTCCTCCAGGGCGTCCTCGTCGCTCGTGATGGTGTGTCCTAGAACGCGCTCGCCATCGCCGGCGCCGACCGCCGGGCCTACACCGCGGGCTCCGACGGCCACGTCGCCGGCTGGGACCGCCGCGCGCTGGACCCTCGCGTGCGATGTGAAGGCTCACGACATGGCAGTGTTGTGTCTCTACGTCGTTAGGGACCTGCTCTGCACCGGCTCCACCGACAAGACCATCGGCCTTTGGCGCCGGCAGAGCAGCGGTGAGCTGGCCAAGGTGGGCGTCATTGGAGGCCATGAGGGCCCTGTAAAATGCATCCAGGCGTCCTGGTGTAGGCTCAGCAATGGTTGCATGGTCTACAGCGGGAGCCTTGACAAGACCATCAGAGTTTGGTGGGTGGCCGGTGCTTTGCAGCATGACAATGGCAACGAGTAGCAACAACAACAAGAAAAGAGCTTCAAGGATCAGAATCAGAATGAGAAGGCTTCTTTGTTCTTGAGATGAAACGTGTCTGTTTCAAATTTCGAAATGGATTGATTGAGATTGCTCAGGTCTAGTCTGTATTTTGGATTGTTTGATTGACAGTGCCAGACTTGGGTGGTTTTCCATGGACACCACCAAGCTAACCCAGATTCTTGGCACCAAGCCAATCTCATTTCAAGATGGAGTCAGAAGTACACTTGATGCAGAAGCCAGTACATGACACTTCCTCAACAGTTTGCTTGAGTTCCTAGGGAGTTGCTTGCATTCAAATATGAAAGTGTGACGTAGAAAATCACATTTAATTTGTGAAATTTTAGTAACGGTAAATTTCTATTGGATCTACTTGCTAAACACCAGTGGCATCATCGGTGTTACTGCCTGATTGTACTGTACCGTTATGAAAAAAAATGCCATTTGTTTTAAGTCGTTTTTTCCCAGCAGTATGTAACTGTATTGTGCATGTATATTACAATTTCCAACTAATGTTACCCTCATGTATTTTTTTAGAGTTTTAGGCCTTTGCCCGTCTTAGCATTAAACAAAGACAATAGCATTCAATTACAGCATTCATGAAGATCTACCCTCATGTATTCTGTTTGGTTGGTATTTTCAGATTTGTTGCTGCCTAATATTTGGCTTTAATTTCTAACCCTACCTTGGTGAGTTATTATTCTATATAGTGCATAGCCCTGTATTGGATTGAATACAAGTGCTGGCTTTGCTACTGCATTACTCTTTCTTTTCTTTTTAATGAAATGATACGCAGCTCTCCTAAGTGTTCGAGAAAGAAATATATGCTCCACCGTATAAATTGAAAGTTGTATAAATTTAAGTGTAAGTTTGGAAGGTGTATAAGCTCTCTGTGGTCATAATTGAACATATAACTTTGGTCTATCCAAATGAGTTCATAATTTAGAACTTCTCACTATCTGACAAAGAGTACATAAATAAGCATCACACAAACCATTGAATAATTGGCAGACTCAGGTGGGTTACCAAAACTTTTTATTTTATATTTGCTTTTTTACTATTTAGCTTGGATAAAAATTGTTAAAAAAGGTTAATACAGATAAATGATAGGCATGACTAAGTTTGCGACGGCCAATAGGGCATCAGTATAAGTATTTGACACTTTTACAGGTGGAGCAGCATTCCAGGAATCTCAGAGCTATCTTATGACAAATTCAGGGAATTGTGTATTGTGTAGATATCAGAGACACCAGCACAAAACAAAATATTAAAATAATTATTCTGAAACAATGATAAGCTTGCATAGGATACACGTACAGGCTAAGAAGTATTATTGGGGGCAGCGAGATTGGAAAACTACCTTCTAGATGAAAAATGACCTTCTGAAGAAGCAAAGCCATCACCTGTACTGATCTTTTGAGACATTTTCTTTTTCTTATTCCCAGTAACCTCAAAGTATGGGAGGACACGGTGGTAGCAGGCATATAACCATACAAATGCATTATCGCTGCCATATATATGGTCTAAGTACTACCACTTGAAACGGTTCCACATAGAATGATACCCCACAGCAGAGTGAGTAAAAGTAATATTGCATATTACAGCCACCATAGTATCCCTCCTCAATGTTAAAGTGCAGCCTGTACGAACTTTATTTAGTTATTACTGATAAGGAACTCACATGGATACCCAGCACTGATACTATGCTAGGTACGTAAAAACTTAACCACAATGACAATTGCAAACGACCTCGCATCACAATATAGCTGGTATAGGAATTGCGCCGCTATTTATTTGGTGAATGTAAGAAATAACTTAATCATGCGTAGTCAAGTTGTGGATAGGCCCTATGCCCTCGAAATTTGAATAAATCCGTGAAACTTGAATATTTATTCAGCTCTTCTTATTTCAACAACTATCTCAGGGCCTCTCGTAGGGTAGCGGGCGCATTACAAGGATATACAATATGATTGGTGCCACCATAGTAGGAGTTAGGATAGCAAAGATGGTCATGGTGAGCTTATCTTCATCTAAGCACATCTTGAGTGTCAGCTTCTTGCTTCTAACAATGTACTCCGGCTCCTGCTTGATGTTTTCTTCGATAGTCTCCAGCTTGCAGCACTTATCTCAGGCTTCTTCTTAAAATGTTGAAATAGGTTGGCATTTGAATAGGGGGCTTATGCGGGTGATTAGTGTCGAGTGTGGAGTGCCTTGTTGTGAAGGGGGAGCTGGGGGGCATTTTATAGGCGATTGACGACGGGTTTAGAGGGTGGGTGAGCGCCATTATCGGTGGCACTGAGCAGCATCGGGGGCTGAGGGAACCAGGTTTGTGGGGGACAGTAGCGGCAGCATCGGCCCAATGGAGGTGACATCACGAGCGGTGTCGTGGGGCGGTGGTGCGACGTGCGGTGGGTGGCGGTGCAGAAGAGACAGCGGCATGACGCTGAGAGGACGGCACCAGTGTGCGAGAAAAGGAGCGCGGGTGAGTGGCCACTGGCGGTGCGCGTGGCTTTAATTTGCATGCGGTCTTAGGTCAAACATACAACTTGGAAATGAAATCCTACACTATGTTAGTGGGAGATCTTTAATTTGTGAAAAGGCAGCTTTAATTTGTTACCTCCTTTGCGATTCAATTCCAATCATAGTTGGTCTGCTTGCATCTGAATGGTTGCTTTTCTTGTAACCCGTTTGTTTTTTGCCTCGAGAACCCTAAGTAAGTCTAACGAGGTCTAAGGGTAAATCGACATAACAAACACAACGGATAAAGAAAAATGCACGTCCAAAATGCCCTTATATGAGTACAACATACAGGCACTCCCTCTCCCATTCTCGACACATCGTTTGGCTCCTACGACCCAATGATTCTTAACATCTACGGATGAAATACAATCGAAAGATTACAACACTAGAGGATGGCGATGAAAAGCACTACTAACTACGGGTACATGTCCCCTAGGACAACTCATCTACTTCGTCGGACCAAACGGCTTCATTCCCGGCCTCGGTTGGTTCTTCTTCTGCACTGGCTAAGGATCTGTCTCCTCTCATGGTGGTGGCTGAGTGAGGGGAAGCAAGGACTCTACTTCTAATACCTTCGAGGGCGGAGGTGCTGGTGGTACTGCAACACCGGTTCTCCTTCTTTCCGACGGGTGGACAGGGATTCCCTCCAAGACCAAGGGTTCCTGCCTTTCTATGTCAAGCGTCCTACGCTTGGCCCTTGTGACCAGATAAGCATCCTCCAGCTGCTGGGTGTGTCGATCTTCAGCCTCCTTCAGGGCTTCCGCCATGGCAGTCTCACGACTTTCTGTGGCTACCACATTGGCGCGCACCTCAGCGAGTTGCACTTCGAGCATCCTGGAGAAGATCTCGGCTTCCTCGGCTCAGCGGAGGCACTTCCTCAGCTCCGAGGCCTATTGGTCATACTGCTCATCCAGAGCAATCAAATACGTGGCCAAATGTACCACAGTTGGGCTATCTTCTTGCGCATCCCGCCCTTGCAAAGCCTCCATGCGAGACCTCCATATCCGTCAATTCTTTTCCAAAGGTGGAAAGAACTTCATGGGGGTACGAGCAATTGGCTCTTCATAGATCTGGCAAAGATGCCGCAAGGCTTTGCGGGCCACAACTTGGTAGGTGTCGACGAAGCCAAACCCAGTTGCGGTCACATTCCAGGCTTCAGTGATATCAAGGAACTCCTCACTCTTCCCAATGTAGACGGTGACCTCACATCGCTCAGTACCATGTTTCTCATACTCATGACCCTCATACTCGGGGTGATCCTTCCAAGTTTTTGTAAGGTGGCATACAGGATGTTGGGAAAACCCTCAGTGTTCAGGCAATAGCTACTAACCCAGGCTCCTGCCATCCTTGGTGGATGATGGTTACAAGGAAGGATCGAGCGAGAAGCTTGCTCGGGAGAAAGTCTAGGTGAGCTGAGACTCACCGAGTGGTGGTACCAAGTGGCTAGGCTAGGCCTTTTGTAATGGAGAAGCGGTCATTGGGCCTGGCGCAGTCCACCATTTAGTCTGGCGCAAAGAACAATAAAAGGAAAGCAGTAGGATTTTTACGCGCACGAGACGAGCAGTGTCCGAGGCCATTCCCTAAGTTATCCAAAAATTCACTCAGTAAATTTAAAAGCGCTTGACATCTTCACCTACGCAGGGTGGGTCGAAAGCAGGTGGACACATTTAATGCCTCCTCTCCATGCTACCATCAGATAAAAACCAGTCGGGCAGGTGGACACATTTAATGCCTCTCCTCCTTACCATCAGATAAAAATGATTCATCGACCACGCAGGAACATTTGTACTTACACATGCATCCATGCATCTAAGACACGGCTTGGTTTGTGTGCACGTTGCTCCCGAGGTGGTCGGTGGTTGGGGTTGGTCGCCAACAGGGAGAGAACGATGTGCCAAAAAGCTGAGAACGGTTTCCCTATATGTTGGCAACAGTGAAAGGACGTATAGGACGTGCATTCATGCATATCCTGTTTGTGCATTATAGTGCCACATTGCTGGCAGATACACCATCCATAGGTGTCACGCATGTCGTATTGTGCATGACCTACTTGTTCCTGTTCTAGAGTTAGGTCTGCACTGTGGCTTCGTCCTCCACTTTCGCCCGTGGTTCACGCCTGCAGTGACCCACATCTCCTCGTACCCCTTTTCTGCGCTCTTGTCGGACCCTTGCCCTGCAGTCGTACTACTCAGTAATGGCACCGCATGTGGCTCACCTCGAACGCGTGGAATTTGGTCGATTCATTCGTAGTGATCCCGCCCAGGAACCCTAGTGAACCACGTCAGGACCACAGACCGCTCCGCCTTTATAAGCAGAGCCTGGCTTAGCCATTGGTACCACCACTCGGCGCACTTTAGCTCGCTTAGCTTTTCCTTTGAGCCAGCTTTTCGCTCAGCCTTCCTCACAACCACCGCCAGAAATGGCAGGAGCCTGGGTTAGTAGTTACTGCCTGAACATTGAGG